GGGACACGAAATTGGGGACACGGAATTTGGGGACACGGAATTTGGGGACACGGAATTTGGGGACACGAAATTGGGGACACGGAATTTGGGGACACGGAATTTGGGACACGAAATTTGGGGACACGAAATTGGGGACACGGAAATTGGGGACACAGAATTTGGGGACACGGAATTTGTGGACACGGAATTTGGGGACACGGAATTTGGGGACACGGAATTTGGGGACACGAAATTTGGGGACACGAAATTGGGGACACGGAATTTGGGGGACACGGAATTTGGGGACACGGAATTTGGGGACACGAAATTTGGGGACACGAAATTGGGGACACGGAAATTGGGGACACAGAATTTGGGGACACGGAATTTGGGGACACGGAATTTGGGGACACGGAATTTGGGGACACGGAATTTGGGGATACGGAATTTGGGGACACGAAATTTAGGGGACACGAAATTGGGGACACGGAATTTGGGGACACGGAATTTGGGGACACGGAATTTGGGGACACGAAATTGGGGACACGGAATTTGGGGACACGGAATTTGGTGACACGGAATTTGGGGACACGGAATTTGGGGACACGGAATTTGGGGACACGAAATTGGGGACACGGAATTTGGGGACACGGAATTTGGGGACACGGAATTTGGGGACACGAAATTGGGGACACGGAATTTGGGGACACGGAATTTGGGGACACGGAATTTGGGGACACGAAATTTGGGGACACGAAATTGGGGACACGGAATTTGGGGACACGGAATTTGGGGACACGAAATTGGGGACACGGAATTTGGGGACACGGAATTTGGGGACACGGAATTTGGGGACACGGAATTTGGGGACACGAAATTTGGGGACACGAAATTTGGGGACACGAAATTGGGGACACGGAATTTGGGGACACGGAATTTGGGGACACGAAATTGGGGACACGGAATTTGGGGACACGGAATTTGGGAACACGGAATTTGGGGACACGGAATTTGGGGACACGGAATTTGGGGACACGGAATTTGGGGACACGAAATTGGGGACACGGAATTTGGGGACACGAAATTTGGGGACACGGAATTTGGGGACACGAAATTGGGGACACGGAATTTGGGGACACGAAATTTGGGGACACGGAATTTGGGGACACGAAATTGGGGACACGGAATTTGGGGACACGGAATTTGGGGACACGGAATTTGGGGACACGAAATTGGGGACACGGAATTTGGGGACACGGAATTTGGGGACACGGAATTTGGGGACACGGAATTTGGGGACACGAAATTTGGGGACACGAAATTGGGGACACGGAAATTGGGGACACAGAATTTGGGGACACGGAATTTGTGGACACGGAATTTGGGGACACGGAATTTGGGGACACGGAATTTGGGACACGAAATTTGGGGACACGAAATTGGGGACACGGAATTTGGGGACACGGAATTTGGGGACACGGAATTTGGGGACACGGAATTTGGGGACACGAAATTTGGGGACACGAAATTGGGGACACGGAAATTGGGGACACAGAATTTGGGGACACGGAATTTGGGGACACGGAATTTGGGGACACGGAATTTGGGGACACGGAATTTGGGGATACGGAATTTGGGGACACGAAATTGGGGACACGAAATTGGGGACACGGAATTTGGGGACACGGAATTTGGGGACACGGAATTTGGGGACACGAAATTGGGGACACGGAATTTGGGGACACGGAATTTGGGGACACGGAATTTGGGGACACGGAATTTGGGGACACGGAATTTGGGGACACGAAATTGGGGACACGGAATTTGGGGACACGGAATTTGGGGACACGGAATTTGGGGACACGAAATTGGGGACACGGAATTTGGGGACACGGAATTTGGGGACACGGAATTTGGGGACACGGAATTTGGGGACACGAAATTTGGGGACACGAAATTGGGGACACGGAATTTGGGGACACGGAATTTGGGGACACGAAATTGGGGACACGGAATTTGGGGACACGGAATTTGGGGACACGGAATTTGGGGACACGGAATTTGGGGACACGAAATTTGGGGACACGAAATTTGGGGACACGAAATTGGGGACACGGAATTTGGGGACACGGAATTTGGGGACACGAAATTGGGGACACGGAATTTGGGGACACGGAATTTGGGAACACGGAATTTGGGGACACGGAATTTGGGGACACGGAATTTGGGGACACGAAATTGGGGACACGGAATTTGGGGACACGAAATTTGGGGACACGAAATTTGGGGACACGAAATTGGGGACACGGAATTTGGGGACACGGAATTTGGGGACACGAAATTGGGGACACGGAATTTGGGGACACGGAATTTGGGAACACGGAATTTGGGGACACGGAATTTGGGGACACGGAATTTGGGGACACGGAATTTGGGGACACGAAATTGGGGACACGGAATTTGGGGACACGAAATTTGGGGACACGGAATTTGGGGACACGAAATTGGGGACACGGAATTTGGGGACACGGAATTTGGGGACACGGAATTTGGGGACACGAAATTGGGGACACGGAATTTGGGGACACGGAATTTGGGGACACGGAATTTGGGGACACGAAATTGGGGACACGGAATTTGGGGACACGAAATTTGGGGACACGGAATTTGGGGACACGAAATTGGGGACACGGAATTTGGGGACACGGAATTTGGGGACACGGAATTTGGGGACACGAAATTGGGGACACGGAATTTGGGGACACGAAATTTGGGGACACGAAATTTGGGGACACGAAATTGGGGACACGGAATTTGGGGACACGGAATTTGGGGACACGAAATTGGGGACACGGAATTTGGGGACACGGAATTTGGGGACACGAAATTTGGGGACACGAAATTGGGGACACGGAATTTGGGGACACGGAATTTGGGGACACGAAATTGGGGACACGGAATTTGGGGACACGGAATTTGGGAACACGGAATTTGGGGACACGGAATTTGGGGACACGGAATTTGGGGACACGGAATTTGGGGACACGAAATTGGGGACACGGAATTTGGGGACACGAAATTTGGGGACACGGAATTTGGGGACACGAAATTGGGGACACGGAATTTGGGGACACGGAATTTGGGGACACGGAATTTGGGGACACGAAATTGGGGACACGGAATTTGGGGACACGGAATTTGGGGACACGGAATTTGGGGACACGAAATTGGGGACACGGAATTTGGGGACACGAAATTTGGGGACACGGAATTTGGGGACACGAAATTGGGGACACGGAATTTGGGGACACGGAATTTGGGGACACGGAATTTGGGGACACGAAATTGGGGACACGGAATTTGGGGACACGAAATTTGGGGACACGAAATTTGGGGACACGAAATTGGGGACACGGAATTTGGGGACACGGAATTTGGGGACACGAAATTGGGGACACGGAATTTGGGGACACGGAATTTGGGGACACGGAATTTGGGGACACGGAATTTGGGGACACGGAATTTGGGGACACGGAATTTGGGGACACGGAATTTGGGGACACGAAATTTGGGGACACGAAATTGGGGACACGGAATTTGGGGACACGGAATTTGGGGACACGGAATTTGGGGACACGGAATTTGGGGACACGAAATTGGGGACACGGAATTTGGGGACACGGAATTTGGGGACACGGAATTTGGGGACACGGAATTTGGGGACACGGAATTTGGGGACACGGAATTTGGTGTCGAAAATTTCTTTAAATTTTCGTCGAAGGAGGAAATTAATTAAATTATTAATTTTTCCTTTTTATTTTGTATGACATCACTTTTTAGTGAACGTTATCGCCTACTTTGCTCTCTCTCTCTTTTTTCCATAAAATGGATAAATTTATCCATTTTATCTTAAATTCCAATCTAAAAATTATTAATAATTTCATCCAAAAGGGAAAAAAGGGAGAAAGTGCATTTCCGCCAACATTATTAAAAACATATAATTTTTTATGTTTACCCATTTTTTGCCATTGCCCCACATTCTTTACCACACACATTGATTCTGGCCTATTTAAGGCAAATTTTTCCCCTTACACCAACATTCTTACATTCATAATAACATTCTTAGATACATTCATTTAATCATTCCCAACAGCCTTTTAATAACCACACATACAATTATAAATTTTCTTTAATTAAATAAATATTTTTTAATATTCTTGTCTTTTATTATTCTTTGGTAATATTCTGTGAATATTCTTTGGGAATATTCAATTGTTCGTCCATCGTCTAAACTTGGCCATCCATCAAAACCCTCGCCTAATCGCCTAACATCCTTTTTTGGTTTGCCGCGTCTTAATCTTTGGGGATTAAGACGCTCATCAGCCTCAACACACTTTCGACTATCTTTTAGCGGCGAACTCCTAGTTCCCTCTGGGAATCCCGATCTAGGTAGTTCCCGTTAAAATTGGTGCCACGACCCGGGACAGCCGTCGACATTCATCAGTCAACACAAATACCAATTCCGACCTTTGCAGTCGGCACAAATTCGACTAATTTTCGTCTGCGCCAAAAGGATCAGCCGTCGTCAAAGACCCACATTCCCAGCAGAACAAACGACTATTAGTTGAACCAGTACAGCGACCACCAGCCGTCTAACTGTACACCATTAATTTTATTTGGCAAACCGCGTCTAACCAACCATCAATGGCACGAATTATACGTCAAGAACTTTATGGAACGACAAGAGCACTCGTCGAACACCTCAAAATCGCCGAATCTTGCATCGTCCAACTCAAATCAAAACCGTCAATAGAGAAGGAAGATGAACTGGCAGCATCAGTGGAGATGGAACTCGTCCATCTCACAGAACGAACCAACCAACTCCAAGCAATTATCAACAAATACAATCAATTCATGGATGGCCTCGACGAACAACAGCAAAACGAACATGCAGACTACCTCGCCAATTTCCTAACATACGACAAAATATCCGACCAGAACTTGGAAAATGCAGAACAATGGCCAGTCTCCAAATTGGTCGACAGAGCAAATGAAGTGATCAACCGGATCAAAGCGTACAGGGTTATTCGGCAAATGACGACAGATAGCAACAGCAATAATTCGCCAAGAGCGCCTAGTGTACAAGGATCAACATCAGCGAACATGGTCGACAATCAAACTCCGCTGCGCCAAGAAAGACGTCAATTTCTTTCTGACGACGAAGAAGAAAATGATTGGAGGCAAAATCGACGAATGCGTCAGCCCAGCGCGCCAGACTTTGAAGAACCGAGTATTGGAAATCAGCATGAGACATCACGTCAAACTTACGACTATCAGCATACCAACTTATTCCAGCAACCACAATATGGGCTTCCTAATGCTTTGAAGGTCGAAAGCGTCCGTCTCCCAACATTTGGTGGCGACATACGTGATTGGCGCACATTTTGGGCAGCTTTTGAACATGCAGTCGACAAGCAACAGTATCCGTCTTTCCAGAAGCATCTCCTGCTTCTGCAATATCTTAAAGAAGGTTCAGCAGCCAGAGAAGCGATTAGTGGTTATCCACCGTCCGACGACAATTACAAAATCGTCAAGGAAATTCTAAAGAAGAAGTATGGTAACGACGACCAACTTAGCAACAACTTCAAGCACAACTTCTCAAACTTCCGCCCATCAGGAACAACCTTCGCGAACTCACTCAGTTCCAGAAGGACATTGAAAGAATTTGTCTGCAACTGGAATACTTGGACAACCAATCGCCTATGTTCCTATGCAACATCATTAAGTCCAAACTTCCCCATGGAATTCTTCAGGAACTCATCGCAAAAGAACTTGACTCGCCTAAGAAGTGGACACACAAAGAACTGCGACGAGCTTTGGAAAACATCGTCAACATTCGACAAGCCACCGACGAATGCATGAATTCATTTCACGACGAACCACCACGTCGACAAGAAGGGCAAAGAAATAATCAGCAACAAGTGCGACAAGAGGTTCGACAATTGCCACGCCAAATGGAAAATACCAGAGCATTTTCGGTATTCGCCAACGCCAATAACACCAGCGCCAATTACGCCAACGCCAATTACGTCAACCGTGGAGAAAAACAACTTCCGCAATCATGTTCCTTATGCGCCATTGTTGGACATCGACCAAGCAGGTGCCCCTCATATTCGACACCTCAACAGCGCAAAGTTCGTCTATTGGAACAGGGCCGATGTTTGAAATGCCTTCAACAAAGCCATACGACAGATCAATGTCAACGATCATTTACATGTCATCAGTGTGGAAGCGTCGATCACCACTTCCTTATTTGCATACCACCGCAGGCAAAAATCGACTATCCAACTCCTCAAGCGGTCTCATATGCACCACGTCTAGCTCTGCAATCTTCTGTTCAATCGCCAACACCACCGGCAAGATCAGTGCAACAGACAGTTTCCAAGATGCCTCAACGCCAAACACCTCCGCGCCGAAATGATCGACCAATGCCAAAAGTAACTGGTGGAAATGCGACAGCACTCAACAATCAACGTGCTACGACGACAATGAGTTCACTCCAAGAAGCAACAGACTCTGTTAAAGAAGTTAAAGAAGAGACTACACCACCAGTCAATGAAATTCAGAAGGTAGCAAATGAACCTGAAGAAGTCAAAGAAGAAGCAAAAGAAGCACCTGACTCGTCAACTTACTTGACAGCACGACAAAATGACAACAAAACTCATTTAATGACAATCATCATCAACGTCTCGTGCCCGGGAGGTCCAAGAGAAGGAATTCCAGCAATGGTCTTCTTCGACTCAGGAAGCCAAACAAGCTACATCGCCAAAGAACTCGTCAATCGCCTTCAGCCGCCAAAACTTTCTGAAGAAGTACTTCGCATACACACCTTTGCGAATCAAAATCCGAAGACCGTCCATTCACCACTCGTCTCAATTCGTCTAAAACGTCAAGACGGCGAATGGGAGCCGATGCAGCTTAACACCATCGACGAAATTTCTACTTCAATGGAAACCTTCCAATTCATTGGACAAGACGACTGCGTCGAACCGGTTAAAGGAACACCATCAATATTAATTGGCATTCGTGAATTCTGGAAATTCGTCACCGGCTTTCAACAACTTGGCCCCAAGCTCTACAAAATTCAAACCGTCTTTGGAGACGTCTTAGGAGGTGAATCATGCTTCAACACGACTAACTCGCCTAAAACATTCATGGCACTCACCGACGACGACAAAGATATTCCTAAACCAAATGACGTCGAGAATTTCTGGGCACTCGAGTCTATTGGAATAAAGGAGAACCCGGCTGAGAAAGACGACGACACCGCCATGCGACTATTTGAACAATCAATACGTCAAAAACCCAATGGCACTTACACAGTTCGTCTACCTTGGAGGGAACCTCGACCAACCATCAACTCAAATTGGACAATGGCCTATAGCCGCCTTCAAGCTAACATCAAACGCCTAATTCAATCGCCCGAACTTCTCGCCAAATACGACAAAAACCTGCGCGACCAAGAAGAGAAAGGAATAATAGAAGAGACCGGCCGCGACAAAGAAGAATTCTTTATGCCTCACCACGCCGTCATCAATCCAAAGAAGCTGAGAATCGTATTAGATGCAAGTGCTCATCCCAATGGAGCAGCAAGCCTAAATCAAGCTCTGTACCGAGGACCTGTTCTACTACCAACACTCGTCGGAATGCTTATACGTTGGAGAACATGCCTTATTCCAATTCTATCGGATGTGCAAGCGGCCTTTCACACAATCGAAATGCTTCCGGAAGATCGACAATTTTGCAAAATTCTTTGGCTGCGCGACGTCAACAAGCCAATCACCACGGACAACTTGGTCGTCAAACGCTACACAAAAATGGTATTTGGTGTGATCTCATCACCTTTCGTATTAGCAGCAGTGTTATTACACCACTACTCCAAATTCGACAACAAATTATCGAAGGAAATGGCAAAGAATACGTACGTCGACAACATTCTCTTTCAATGTTCAACAGAAGAAGAGGCCCTAGACAAAATGAAGACCGCCAAAGAAATATTTAAGAAAGCGGCAATGAATCTTCGAGAATTCCTCAGCCACCGACAAACAATAATGGAGCAAATACCAGAAGAAGACCGACTCGACAAAGCCAAAGCTCAAGTCTTGGGCATCAAATGGGACACTGACAATGATTCAATCACACACAAATTTCCTAAAGAAGACGTCAACATCGTCACTCGCCGAACTGTACTCAGCGCCTTGGCCAGCATCTACGATCCATTGGGACTCATCAACCCATGCCTTCTTCACATCAAACTTTTCTTCCAACGCCTATGGGACAACGAAAGAACATGGGATACGCCAATAAATCCGGAAGAGACGACAGAATGGCAAAGCATCAAGCAATGCTGGAACGACCAAACTATTACGCTTCCACGTCAAGCAATTATTAACAACCCCACAGAGTGGCAACTACATGTGTTCAGTGATGCATCTGAAAATGCCTATGCCGCCTGCGTCTATTTGAGAACGTCAAATGGTCCAAATGTCAAATCAACACTTATTTTTGCAAGAAATCGTCTGCGCCCAAAGAAAGCCAAGTCAAGCCTCACCATCCCAAGAATGGAACTACTTGGTGCACTCATAGCCGTCCGAGCGAAAATACACGTCGAAACAGAACTTCATCGACCAATCAGTGGCGTCCATTTCTGGTTGGACTCGCGCATCGTTCTGGCTTGGATTCAATCCGCCGAACCAAAACCTCAATTTGAACAACGACGACTAACAGAAATTCGTGATGGAGCCAAAGGAACTTTCCATTTCGTCAGAACCGACCAAAATTCCGCCGACATCGCGACACGTGGTTCAACACCAATGGAACTACAACAGTCGACTCTTTGGTGGAATGGCCCAGAATGGATTGTTCGACCATCCGACGATTGGCCCGACGAATTATCCTTCAACATCAACAAGCAAGCAGACGACAATACCATCACCGACAACACCGACACAATAGCATTCTCGACGAAAGAACCAGAGCCGCCGACAATAGACCCTGGAAGGTTTAGCTCCATCTTCACTCTTCTTCGAGTGGTGATCTGGATTATCCGCTTCATGGGACGACATCGACCGAATGTTCTCAACATGGGAACTTCTAAAGTCTCACGCCAGGGACCTATGACTGTCGACGATTACCGAGCAGCACGAATCTTCATCATACGACAAGAACAGAAACGTCTATTGGAAAGCTATACAACACACCCCACGGCAATTAACAGCGATGGACTTTTATGTTTGAAAACCCGCGTCAACTTCTGCAATGGACCCGAAACTATGGCACTGCCCATCCTGCTTGATCGACATTCGCCATTAACTCGACTATTGGTAGAAGAAATACATGTGGACCTCAAACATGCTGGCGTCGATTGGACAATGACAGAATTCCTCAGCCGATACTGGATGCCTCAATCTCGTCGAACCATCAGAGGAATTCTTCACAAATGTCTTCAATGCCGCCGACAACACACACCACCATTTGTTCGTCCATTAATGCCTCAACTACCGCCCATGCGTGTTCGACCAGCAAAGCCTTTTGAATTTATAGGCATCGACTTCCTTGGTCCGACTACCACCAACTACGCCGGCCAAAACGTCAAAACATGGATCATCATAATTTGTTGTATGGTCACCCGCGGCATTTACCTGGAACCAACTCGAGATATGTCATCAATCTCCGTCGTCAACGTCTTACGCCGATTCATCAGTCGACGAGGCAAACCACGTCGAATATTGAGCGACAATGCGCCAACTTTCATTCAAGTACACAGAGCTTTGGACCTGCTTACTGGACCGCCTCCTGAAAATCCGCCTTGGGACTACACGACTAAGAATGGCATTCGATGGGACTTCATACCTTCTTATGCACCGTGGATGGGAGCAACATATGAACGACTAATTGGACTCGTCAAAAGAGCAATTCAACGCACCATCGGCAAAAGAATTCTCGACTACGACGACTTAGGTGCATTCTTGGCCGAAGTGGAAGCAAGTGTCAATAGTCGACCAATCACTTGGGTGTCAGACCAACCTGGAGCACCATTACCTTTAACGCCTAAAGACCTCATCCAAAACAGTGGACCCAACGACCTTGGACCAACAGATTGCGAACTCGACTACGACGACGAAAAATTAACTGGACCTGAGAAACTGGCAGCACTCTGGACAGCATACAGAGAAGCATCAGACGTCTTTTGGTCCCGATGGAGCAACGAATACATCTTGGCCATCAGAGAACGTGCTGGTTGGACACACAAGGGACCACGTTCTCAAACAACATCACCACCAAAGATTGGTCAAATTGTACTCGTCGAGATGGATCTTCGACCACGCAATCTATGGCCTTTGGCAAAAATCGTCGAACTTAATGGCTCGGCTAATGAAATTCGCAGCGTCAATCTGTTAACTGGAGATGGGAAGATTATCACTCGACCAGTCAGCCGACTATGTCCATTGGAAACTGAAATCGACGATCATATAGCGACAAACACCTCAGTAAATCAACATGAAACGCCTAAAGAACAATCAAAACCAATCCGTCAACATCAAATGACTCTCAGACCACGCAAATCAATCGTCAATACAACATCACTGGTGGCTTTTATCGTCTTACTCGCCAACATCCTAGCATTTGGAACCACAACACCTTGGTACCGATGCGGCCAATACGACTATTCTTGCCTTCTCAGCTTATCGACCATTGCTTCAGCACTCGCTCTCTACGAGTTCAAGTGCGACAATTGCCAACTCCAATGTTCGACTAAAGGAGTAATCGTCAAAGCGCCACCTGAAGTTCAAAAGACAGCAGTTTGTTGTATGAAGAATTGTATCGACCATACCGACATGAAAGAATACACTTATGAACTAGCCACCGAGATCCTTATTAACGACTATGAATGCGAAGCCTGGTTCTGGCAGAACTCACACAACAGCATAACAAAGAAGATCAATTGCCCGGCTGTGAATGAATGCAACCTATTCGACTGCTACTTTTGCTTTGAACAACTAGCCAATCCAACTTGCAACCCAAAATGGGCAACATTCTTATTCCTGTTAGGAATTTTCGCCTTCAGCAGTTTGGTTGGATGTTTCATCACCATTTTCAGTTCTATCCGCGTTATCGTCAATCTATTCGTCAACGGCTCAACGACAATAATAAAAGCTTTAACGTTTCCCTTCCGTTGGATGTTCAACAAAATCTACTATAAGAACAGCGACAGTTGGAAACGACAAATCAATTACGCCGAAAAGAAGATGTACACAAGACTCAGAAATATTCATCACCAAAGCCATCAATTCAGACGAAGAGTGTCAAACATCATACTAATTTCGACAATCATCACGTCAATTATTATCCCGACTATTGCAGTTATCTCAATCACAACGCAAACTGAAACTTGCTTGAGAGGAACAACTGGCTTAACTTGCACCGTCAATAGCGCCAACACACTTACGTTATTACCTGCCGGCCAAGTCAACACGTTGCTTCTTCGCGACGAACATGGACTAACTCTTGGCACAATGTCAATGCGTCTAACATCTTTGAAAATGGCCTGCCATCAACAATCAATCGCCTGGTTACGTTTGTATCGCGTCGAACCAACAGCCGTCAAAAGATGCCCTCGAGCGGGCTCATGTTTCAACGACCATTGTGAAAATGTGCGACCAAATAGTTACGTCAAAGAACTACAAGTTGGAAGAGAACTACCTGGCAACACTTTCTGCATTCCATCGACAAGTTTCTGGGGCAACAATTGTGGACTGCCAACATCAGCTTGTCTATACTACCGATATTTTGCTCGACCAACCAGTTCAAACGTCTTCGAAGTCTTCACCTGCCCAAGTTGGAGCCCACAAATGGACGTCGAACTCACGTTAGAAACCAATGGTGGCAAGCGACTATCAAAATCTGTCATCTTACACCCTGGCATCACATCATCATGGGGGAACATCACCATCACACCCTTGGCAATCTCTCTTCCGCCTATGCCAGTACTTGGATCAACATTCGTCACTAATGGACAAACCGTCTCAATCGTCAGTCGACTACCAGTTGATCTACACTGTCCGACGGAAGAAGCAGCTCGATCATTAAACTGTTCACTCGACCAAGAAGCATGCAAAGAATGTTTCCCGAACCACAACGAGGGAACAGTGGAATGCAACTGCCGAGATGTGGACCTCGATGCAATGATGGAGAACCCAGAAACACGACTACCAATCACCAGAGCGAAAGTATGGCTGGAAAACAATGGACCGACAATCTCAGCAACATACGTCTATGCGCCTATTCAAATACATCTTCAAATGAAAAGCCTTGCACTTCATCTTCAACTTCGTGATTCAAAATGCTTCATGGATGAAGCTCAACTTCATGGATGTTACAGATGTGGAGCTGGAGCGCAAATAACTTACAAATGCAGATCAGACAACGCCAACGTCTTAGCCACCGTCAAATGTGAAGATGGAATTCTATTCGTCGCCCACTGCTCGACAAATGGAACCCTCGGCAAAGAAGTAATACCAATCGACTATCCAGATGTCAACACTATTTGTACCGTCGACTGTCCGGCTGGAGAGACCAACTTCAACCTCAATGGCAGCCTTTATTACATCCCTCTTCGACGACAATGGGGACATCAACAACATCGATCAAAACAACTGATTTTGGATCCCGAAACATTCAGTTTTTGGCCCGATCTTGGATTCGACTTATGGATACTCGGCAAACTTCTTCAAGGAGGACCAATTTTTCTTGGCATTATAATGTCAATTGGACTTGCTTTACTCGCCGTATACCTCTTCATGCGACTATCGCCAATATTCCGAATTTATCGACAAATGGCCAGAACAATTACCATCTTTGCAATTTTGGCACAAGTTCAAGCAGTCAATATAACAACAATCGACAAACTCGAACGAATTTCGTCTGCGCCTATATCGCCGAAACATACATTTGGATGGAATCTCTTTGGAATCGCCTTCGTTTCGACTAGTATAATATGCTTAACGATTCGAACCGCCTATCTACATGCGCCAAAACCCTTTCGTCCATTTTTCCGACAAAAACGCCAAAACCGGTTTGCGCCGATTATACCCTTCAACTCAACACTTTACATTCCAATCATAATTTTTGCACTTTCTGTGTGGCCGGCCGGATGTTCCCTTCAGAAAAAGGAAACCACTCTTCAACGACTAACTAGCCCACCCACATTCAATTTAACTGAGCGGCAAAATGACATCATACTTATCACAGCAAAAAGAATTAATAAAATTCCAATCGCCTATCAATACATTCAATCATCATGGGAAAATAAAATTATTGTCAACACGCCTAGTATTATAAATACACAATTTCAATCGACAATAATTCATTCATTCAACAACTCAGTTCTGCTCGTCTACGCCAACTTCAAAATGTCCTCTCGACCATTATCACCATTCGACAATGGAGGGTTTGGAACACCTCGCAACAGTCGTCAAATGGAACCTCAATTTCCACGAACACCTTCCCCATCTCGCAATCGTCATGCATCAAATCCACCACCGTCTAATCGTCAAATATCTCCAACACGTTTACATTCTCGTCGAACCGGTAATCGTCAACGTCAAGAAGTTACAGAACGCCTAGATGAATATATAGCAGCACGATTTGGAAACAATTGGTGGAAAACCGTTGCGACTATCGACAAAATCAACCGGCAACTTAGAGGATTAATGATACGCGACCACACCAACGGCAACAACATCACAGACTGGGACTGCATCACCTACAAGCCAGCACAGAAGCTACTGGTTCAACCCGGCGAAACAGTGGCACACCATTGGCAACTGAAAGGACTACCGATTAGGGAACCACATCTCCCTGTACTACGACAATTTGGTGGCATCCGTGGAACATCACGTCAATCTCGCCAACGTCAACGTCGAGGATTTATCCCTTGGCAAATGGGATACGACCACAAGAGCTACTTTCCTTTGCAAAACTTGGAAATCGTAATTCCTACACCATTGGCAAAACCTAACGGAGATCGTCAAGAAGAGCAACAACCTCGTCAAATTCATGTAATCACCGAAGCAGCACGACAAAAAATTATCGACAAACTTGCGAAAGCTAAAGATGAAATCAATGAGACCATCGAACTTGTTCAGCAACTTGCACCATTTGAACAACCTTCAACCTCATGGAATTGGTATGGAGGAATGTAGTAAAGAAATTTTAAATTTTTTATCTTTCTCTTTCTTTCCCCCTCTTTTCATATATTTGTATTTTTTCCCCTATTCCTTAATCTCTTTTTTTGTAATTTTTTTCAAATGTTTGGAATGGATTGGAACATCAATTCAAATGTCAGCAAAATGGGTCCTCGTCAAATGTTCAACATATCGTCCAAACGCCTAAACTTAACGTCTAAACCTTAACGTCTAAAATTTTAACGTCAAAACTCAATAAAAGAAATCATCAAAGTTAACTAATTAAAAAAGTAATCACAAATTAAATTTATTGGCGAAGCCAATCACTTTAAATTAAAGAACGTGGTGAAACATCATAAAGTTAAAATTCAATATCTTCAAAAAATTAGCAACCCTTCAAACAAAATCTTAACAACAAAACTTTTAAAACGCAAATCGACAAATGGAATATCAACTAACAATTTAAATCGACTAACCATTATAAACTTTAACAACTAAGGACCCACTGATGTGCCTGCCCGCGGCAATGTCGAAAATTTCTTTAAATTTTCGTCGAAGGAGGAAATTAATTAAATTATTAATTTTTCCTTTTTATTTTGTATGACATCACTTTTTAGTGATCGTTATCGCCTACTTTGCTCTCTCTCTCTTTTTTCCATAAAATGGATAAATTTATCCATTTTATCTTAAATTCCAATCTAAAAATTATTAATAATTTCATCCAAAAGGGAAAAAAGGGAGAAAGTGCATTTCCGCCAACATTATTAAAAACATATAATTTTTTATGTTTACCCATTTTTTGCCATTGCCCCACATTCTTTACCACACACATTGATTCTGGCCTATTTAAGGCAAATTTTTCCCCTTACACCAACATTCTTACATTCATAATAACATTCTTAGATACATTCATTTAATCATTCCCAACAGCCTTTTAATAACCACACATACAATTATAAATTTTCTTTAATTAAATAAATATTTTTTAATATTCTTGTCTTTTATTATTCTTTGGTAATATTCTGTGAATATTCTTTGGGAATATTCAATTGTTCGTCCATCGTCTAAACTTGGCCATCCATCAAAACCCTCGCCTAATCGCCTAACATCCTTTTTTTGTTTGCCGCGTCTTAATCTTTGGGATTAAGACGCTCATCAGCCTCAACACACTTTCGACTATCTTTTAGCGGCGAACTCCTAGTTCCCTCTGGGAATCCCGATCTAGGTAGTTCCCGTTATTTGGGGACACGGAATTTGGGGACACGGAATTTGGGGACACGAAATTTGGGGACACGAAATTGGGGACACGGAATTTGGGGACACGGAATTTGGGGACACGGAATTTGGGGACACGGAATTTGGGGACACGAAATTTGGGGACACGAAATTGGGGACACGGAAATTGGGGACACAGAATTTGGGGATACGGAATTTGGGGACACGAAATTTGGGGACACGGAATTTGGGGACACGGAATTTGGGGACACGAAATTGGGGACACGGAATTTGGGGACACGGAATTTGGGGACACGGAATTTGGGGACACGGAATTTGGGGACACGAAATTTGGGGACACGAAATTGGGGACACGGAATTTGGGGACACGGAATTTGGGGACACGGAATTTGGGGACACGGAATTTGGGGACACGGAATTTGGGGACACGGAATTTGGGGACACGGAATTTGGGGACACGGAATTTGGGGACACGAAATTTGGGGACACGAAATTGGGGACACGGAAATTGGGGACACAGAATTTGGGGACACGGAATTTGTGGACACGGAATTTGGGGACACGGAATTTGGGGACACGGAATTTGGGGACACGAAATTTGGGGACACGAAATTGGGGACACGGAATTTGGGGACACGGAATTTGGGGACACGGAATTTGGGGACACGGAATTTGGGGACACGAAATTTGGGGACACGAAATTGGGGACACGGAAATTGGGGACACAGAATTTGGGGACACGGAATTTGGGGACACGGAATTTGGGGACACGGAATTTGGGGACACGGAATTTGGGGATACGGAATTTGGGGACACGAAATTTAGGGGACACGAAATTGGGGACACGGAATTTGGGGACACGGAATTTGGGGACACGGAATTTGGGGACACGAAATTGGGGACACGGAATTTGGGGACACGGAATTTGGGGACACGGAATTTGGGGACACGGAATTTGGGGACACGGAATTTGGGGACACGAAATTGGGGACACGGAATTTGGGGACACGGAATTTGGGGACACGGAATTTGGGGACACGGAATTTGGGGACACGGAATTTGGGGACACGAAATTGGGGACACGGAATTTGGGGACACGGAATTTGGGGACACGGAATTTGGGGACACGAAATTGGGGACACGGAATTTGGGGACACGGAATTTGGGGACACGGAATTTGGGGACACGGAATTTGGGGACACGGAATTTGGGGACACGAAATTGGGGACACGGAATTTGGGGACACGGAATTTGGGGACACGGAATTTGGGGACACGAAATTGGGGACACGGAATTTGGGGACACGGAATTTGGGGACACGGAATTTGGGGACACGGAATTTGGGGACACGAAATTTGGGGACACGAAATTGGGGACACGGAATTTGGGGACACGGAATTTGGGGACACGAAATTGGGGACACGGAATTTGGGGACACGGAATTTGGGGACACGGAATTTGGGGACACGGAATTTGGGGACACGGAATTTGGGGACACGAAATTTGGGGACACGAAATTTGGGGACACGAAATTGGGGACACGGAATTTGGGGACACGGAATTTGGGGACACGAAATTGGGGACACGGAATTTGGGGACACGGAATTTGGGAACACGGAATTTGGGGACACGGAATTTGGGGACACGGAATTTGGGGACACGGAATTTGGGGACACGAAATTGGGGACACGGAATTTGGGGACACGAAATTTGGGGACACGGAATTTGGGGACACGAAATTGGGGACACGGAATTTGGGGACACGAAATTTGGGGACACGGAATTTGGGGACACGAAATTGGGACACGGAATTTGGGGACACGGAATTTGGGGACACGGAATTTGGGGACACGAAATTGGGGACACGGAATTTGGGGACACGGAATTTGGGGACACGAAATTGGGGACACGGAATTTGGGGACACGGAATTTGGGAACACGGAATTTGGGGACACGGAATTTGGGGACACGGAATTTGGGGACACGGAATTTGGGAACACGGAATTTGGGGACACGGAATTTGGGGACACGGAATTTGGGGACACGGAATTTGGGGACACGAAATTGGGGACACGGAATTTGGGGACACGAAATTTGGGGACACGGAATTTGGGGACACGAAATTGGGGACACGGAATTTGGGGACACGGAATTTGGGGACACGGAATTTGGGGACACGAAATTGGGGACACGGAATTTGGGGACACGGAATTTGGGGACACGAAATTGGGGACACGGAATTTGGGGACACGGAATTTGGGGACACGGAATTTGGGGACACGGAATTTGGGGACACGAAATTTGGGGACACGAAATTGGGGACACGGAATTTGGGGACACGAAATTGGGGACACGGAATTTGGGGACACAAAATTGGGGACACGGAATTTGGGGACACGAAATTGGGGACACGGAATTTGGGGACACGGAATTTGGGGACACGGAATTTGGGGACACGGAATTTGGGGACACGAAATTGGGGACACGGAATTTGGGGACACGGAATTTGGGGACACGGAATTTGGGGACACGGAATTTGGGGACACGAAATTTGGGGACACGAAATTGG